ACACGGAGTTTACAGTTTATTAAAGGTCACTACCGTTTCGCGTTGCAACAGTTAGTTCTAGAATACAGAGGCCGCACTAACTTATATTGTCGAATGCACTTATACAGATTCTGAGTCGGACCCAATAAGTCCCGGGGAAGCTCTCCAGTAGGGATACGCGCCACAAAATTCCTAGACCGTATTTTTACTGTCCGCGCTTAATTATTCCGAGTTCCCGCGCTTAATTGGCAGCGTGCCAATCGTGAGCACTGCCTAAGGACAACTGACTGCCCTTGCGCGTTTTTCGCACGACCGAAAGTCAAACCGGTATGAATGCACCGCGCCGAGCGCCCTCTCGCGTCAATCCTTGAAAGTGTTTTGCGCGAATTAATTTATGTTTTTATACATTGTAATCTTTTTTTTAATCCTTCTTCTCAATATTATCTGTAATTCGGTTAATCCATTTCTAATGTAATTAATACAAAATGTATGAAATCTGTCAAAAATTTCATCTCATTTCAAAGTGGCACCGTCCTGATGACAGAAAAAGTCGTGGATTCGTGTAATTTCTACGCACATTCTCTAAACGGTATGTCCCATTTGAAGTTAAATGTAACATCGTTATTTCTTTGGCTTATGAGATTAATACTGAAAAAGATATAAAACTGAAGTGACAAATCAGGTTACTATCCATCTAATGGTACTTTATGGCTTCTGTAGTCCGTGGACCCCAACAGACAACTTTAAAAGTAGGTTACAGATGCGTAGAATTTTTGAGGACTAAGGTGGAATGACTCCCAGTCTGTAATTACAATGACTCTCCATACCCTTGAGATCGGAGCTCATCCGACCGTTTGGCGGCAGAAATAGGTAAGAGGGTGGTACATAACCAGATGGACTCTTAGGTAGAAAAGAAGTTAGTACCGCTTACAATTCAATATCAAATATAAAAAAATGCGTGAGTGTCGTGGAACACTCGGTCGGAACGAAGTTCCTTGCGTAATATATTATTATTAATAAACGTAGGTATTATATTATTGATTAACAAATACAAATAAATGAATTACTAGCGTCTATTAAAAGCGTCATTTGAAATAAAATAATATTTCTTTCATGGCAAGATAAGAAAAAGTGCGAGGGAGATGGATATTATTCCATCTCACTTCCTTATTTCGCCGCCAAGGCCGTCTACACTATGACAAGGGGTAGTGACGAAAAAATCTTACACGTTTTGTCGCCTAGCTCCCATCCGCCAAACCCGTACTCTTCGATAAAGAACTTCGTTCCAAAAATTGGCCAGCTGGCACTTGTGTTTTCAGTTTGTTACATTAGTTCCAAATCAAGCTCAAGGCTATGGAGTTTATTACATAACAAATCAAAGTCAACAATAAATACCTACCGGGTGGTAGCGGGGTAAGATAATCAATCACCCTATTTTGTTCCGTGGGTGTCGTAATATGCATTACGATTATGAAATGACACAAAAATCTTATGGCTTCCGATAGATGGCGCTATAATAATTTCGCTTATTCTACACGTGATACCAAACTAAGGAAAATACTAAGAGATAAGCGCCGGGCAATAGCATCAAACGTGCAAAGCTTCTTGAACTACGATCGCAATTTACATGCCAATTTTGCCAATCATGCCAAAAGTAAGGCCAAGACAAATCCTCCCTATTGAAGAGACTTAGCTTTGGAACTGGACTTATATGGGCTTAGCCGTTACACCGCTAGGTACCTACGTCCACCGGGCCGGCCAACAGCTGACAGTTTTTACCTTGACCTCATTACGTACAAGCGTGCTACTGCTATTTTTAATTTTTTGTAAGTAGTAGTGTCGATTCGTTACCAATAACGGGACGAAAATGTTCAAACCACGAATACTATAAAAGTATGAAATGGTGCGCTATTACATTTTATGCAATGAAAGTTTACGTAGTGCGCAAACATTATTGGAATGTGTGTCTTTACCATGGCAAGAAATTAACGTACGTGTACCTTACCAATCAATCAAACTATTTAATTGCAGTGACCGATAATTTAAATGGTGAATATCAAGATAGGTGGATTGCGCACGGACGGCCTATACTATAGCCTGCAAACTTGCCGGAACTTTCACTGTTAGACTTTTATCTGTGGGGTGGAATAAAGCGTCGTGTTTACGTCAAAGAAGCCCAAAGGTATGAAGACCGCCAAAGTAAAATTATTGCTGCGTTGACGGAAGTTAAAAGTGATCAAGCACAAGTAATAAGCGTAAAAAATAATTTAAGAAAACGTACTCGTCTACGCATAGAGAAACGGATTCCATGTTAAGGCACCAATATTAGATATTGGGACTAGTTATTGTTTTATTTTGGTTGTAAATAGTTTATTCTTAAATACGCCACAATAATAATAGTCGTCGGTTAAATCGTTTATAAGCAAAAATATTTTTTTTTAATTTTGTGTAAAGGGAAATTGGAATCATAATTCGCGTCGTGTAGTTATGTAGTAAGCTTGTCACTAAGAAAGTAAACAGTAGATAAAAACTTGAGAAATGAAAACGTGAATTGAATCACATACACAGGAGTGTGCGTACGCGTAGTTGCTGCCAATAAATCATATTCAATTTGGGATAATTTAAAATTAAAGTAAGAAGTCTTATTTACTCGTATTTTTAAAAACTATAATATCGGTATATCACTGTTTATAAATTTGTACTCACGGGTGACAACGCATCTGCATTTTGATTCGTAATCGAGGATAAATGTAGATGTCTATGAGCCACAGCAACCACTTACCATTAGGTGAACTGTGTGCTCGTTTTTCACCCTTAACCTATAAAAAAAACCAAGCTGTCACAGTAGTGTGTGTGGAAAATCGGAGACACTTTTAGTGGAAACGAGGCATTCCATCTTAGTCCTCAGGGGTAACAACGCATCTTTATTTTCATTCTTAATTGAGGATTAATGTCTATGAGCCATCCACTTACCATCACGTGAACTCTGTGCTCGTTTGTCACTCTTAATCTATAAAAAAAATGCGTGTGATCGTCAAGTGCGATGCAAATGCAAATGATTATATTCGATTTGCCGAATTCACTTTCTGGCGAAGTATTTTAAAAATGACGAAGTGTGCAAAGCATAGATACCGCTACTTTAAAACACTTCTACTTCATTCCGTATGAATGTACATAAAGAACACAAACCAGTGGGTGTCCTACAAGACAGAATCCTTCCAAACGGTATTTTTAATATTATTATGTCCCTTTGCCTTTTCGACTTAATTATCCGTTGGACTACGTCAATTACTTTGGTTCTACTGCGAATATTTTCTTTACGATCTTACTATCAGCTATTTAATGCGCTTTTTTATATTACAATAACCAACTTTGCCGTGTAGTGGTGGCTTAAGAGTATTCACTACGCCATATCACTAATTGTCACCAATTCCTCACTAAATCTAGAATCTAAAATTCAGAATTCTGGTATCAGAGGCAACTCGATAGGTTATGATATTTTAAAATTTATTAATATTTTTAACACGTTTGTTGTTGAATGTTCCGTTAATATTACAATGGGTCCCGGGTCATATAGGCCTTAAGGGCAATGAAGAGGCTGATCACTTATCTAAGCTAGCTACAGTAGAGGGTGACATCATTAATTTTATACCAGATTCGACGGAATATGTTTCAAAATTTAATAGCGTATGTTATCAAAATTGGATAAGCTATTTTGAAGAGAAATCTAAAACGAAAGGCATCTGGTATAGAACTATACAAAGCGAGCCTTATCGCGTACCTTGGTTTAATGATTGTGATCTCAGCAGAAATTTTGTTAAGTTAGCCTTAAGGCTTCGTTCTGGTTATATTCCATCAGCAAAGTTCGCTTTTTTAATAGGAAAAAAACTTTCACTGAATTGTGATGTATGTAACAAAATTGAAGATGTTTACCATTTGTTGATGGAGTGTGTCAAGAATGGAAAAGATAGACAGGCTGTGTTGAAAGAATTTAACGCAAATGTTTTGGTTGTCGATCTAGTGCAAATGGTTTTATAAAACCCCAAATCAAAGATGTCAAGAGGGTTATTATGACTTGCTTCTAGGACGGAATAATTATCTCCTCTTCTTCAGTATAAGTTTCTTTTTAGGTTAGTAATTTAACTAGTACTCACAATTATACATTTTTATTTTGTTCTAATGTTAGAAGTAATTAGTATAAGGTATGATGGGATTGGTATGTCATTTTGACATAAATCCCAAAAAAATTAAAGAAAAAAAATCAGAATATCTTTTGGGAGGATTCTAGCTTGAAAGACGCAGGTAAAAAAAAACAGTATCAATAAATTTTTATTCTATTAGTTATCAAAAATAACAAATTAAAGACCTAAAAATAAAAATCTAAAAACAAAAGCTTAGAAACAACATCATATCCAAAATTAATGTAAAAGTTATAGCTATATATAATTCATTATAAATCACTCAAGAAACAAAAAGTATTCGGTTACTGTCAAAAGGTCAGTGTATAGCAGTTTTCATGACGTTCGTTTCAAGAGCCGCCTTTACGGCACCTGCAATTGAAAACAACCGTTATAAATATATACATATTAATAAAACTAAAGTGTCTGCTTTTAATATTGAATTAACAGAAAAAATCTAGTTTTTACGGATTTTATCGCGTATATTAACTTATTTTATATTCCCGACGTTTCGAGCACTTTACAGCCCTTACAGGGGGGGCACTAAGGAGTTTGACGTCCCGATGTCATAGTTCACCACGGCTACCTCCAGATTAAAATTATAAATTTTTGTTCCGATCTGCGCAGTGTGAACTTATAGTATCTTGAAGTCTTGCAGTTGTATACTTAGGTTTGGATTTAATTTTATTAATTATAGGATCCGAAGCTGATGGTAGCCACCCAGCCATCTTCTCTATATTGAAATTAGGATGTTTTTTGATTTCAATAGCCTCGCGAATCATCCTCGATAGGCTGTAATGAATGAATGAATGAATGTCGAAAATATTTATTTGTAAATTATACCTTTTGCTTGTAATTGTTTAACTGCATGAATGGCTGGAAACTCTTCACTATTTTCATTTATAACGAATTCTTCTTTACTTTTCGTAGAACCGTTGGGGACCTCTTCAGGTATGACCTCGTCAATTCTCTAAACAGGAAATTATTTTAATGTGTGGATTTTTAAAGGACATCTACCTTAAAACGAGTGAGGCTCGAGGCCCATATCCAGCAGTGACCTATATCTCAAGAAGTTGAGGATGGGACTTGGGAACATTTTTGATAGTTTGGTTTGACTGTGATGAGAATAGTGATAATGGTGATAGTTTTTTAAATTACAGTATCCACCCTAAGAAATCCACCCTAGGGTGTATACTCGGAAACGCGTGTTCGTTTATCCACCGTAGACGTGGTCGATGGTTGGAGTTCACTTTTAGAATGTTGTTCCGCCTTTCCACCCTGAGTACACATCAAAAGAAAATATAATCACACTTTAATATTGTTACGAACTCGGGGTTCGAGATAATTAAAAACTGCCGAGTGAATTACCAAAATTGACACTTTAATTACACAACACTAATTACAACTTAAAATCACACTAATAATAAAACACAGTTGTACCACTGATCACTTTAGTTCGCCGTTATTTCGCTTCGAAGTATTCTCTTGTATCGTCAATTCAATACTGCCTTGGTCGTGGTCTATACCGGCTTTATATAGGGCCTCAGATAGTTTCCAGAAACTTCTACTGTAGCGACATCTAGAATGTTCGAGTACATATCGGACCCGAAGTTTCTAGAAGCTCTGCTACTTGACACTAGAGGGCGCAAGTGTAACTAGTGTTGCCATGTACAAGACATTAATAGTGGCGCGCAACAATATATTATTAATTGCTTGCCCTAAGCGAAGCAAGGTATGTTCTACTAGCGCCTAAAAATTAAGATTCCAACGTTTTATTTTCGAATGAAATCGTATCTAGCAATCATATTATACATATAAATGATATAAAAAGCACATTGTTAGAAAGATAAATGATTGTTGAACTTATTAATATTTTTTAAAAATTGATTTATTGCTATTTTTAAATAAAAAAACGGGTTTTAGTGGCTTATGGTGTGGATTTATCAAGTCCCCAAGGCTTGTAAACACGATAACTTTTGAAAATATCAATTGTTTAACTCAATCTATTTTTTAATCTCTTCTTCTATCATGTGGGAAGCCACTGAATGTAAATGGCAGTGTAATTTTGTTTTGTTTAGCTATAATTAATTATTTTCGGCTCCTAAATGGTGAAATTTTCGTTGATTTGGTAGCCTTGTATGTAAATTATTTCTGTAAATAGGCGGAAGCCGCCGTCGTGAGTGGACTTTGTTTCGGTTGTTTGCAGCGACTCAAAAAGATCGCTGTACAAATACACAATATTCGAATAACCAAATTTCTTAAATACTTGATTAAAATAATAATGAGAGATTTTTTTATTACAATATTTTAAAAGCACAGAATAAATAATAGTAGTACGTACTAAAAGTAAGTAGTATTAATTTTTTTTGTCATGGGTGACATTTTCATGGTTTTCGAGGGTGTTGAAACCGATAGGGTTGTCGAAATGTAAATCCAAGATGGCGGCCGCAATAGGTATCAATTTTTTCATCATGGGTGTCACTTTCATGGTTTTCGAGGGTGCTGAAGCTGAGAGTGCTGTCGAAATGTAAATCCAAGGTGGCGGCTGCAATAGGTATAAATTTTTTATCATGGGTGTCATTTTCATGGTTTTCGAGGGTGCTGAAGCCGAGAGTGCTGTCGAAATGTAAATTCAAGGTGGCGGCTGCAATAGGTATAAATTTTTTCATCATGGGTGTCATTTTCATGGTTTTCGAGGGTGTTGAAGCCGATAGTGCTGTCGAAATGTAAATCCAAGATGGCGGCTGAATTATGTACCAATTTTTTTTGTCATGGGTGACATTTTCATGGTTTTCGAGGGTGTTGAAGCCGATAGTGCTGTCGAAATGTAAACCCAAGATGGCGGCTGCAATAAATATCAATTTTTTCATCTTGGATGTTATTTTCATTGTTTTCGAGGGTGTTGAAGCCGATAGGGTTGTCGAAATGTAAATCCAAGATGGCGGCTGCAATAGATATCAATTTTTTCATCATGGGTGTCATTCTCATGGTTTTCGCGGGTGTTGAAGCCGATATTGCTGTCGAAATGTAAATCCAAGGTGGCGACTGCAATAGGTATCAATTTTTTCATCATGGGTGTCATTTTCATGGTTTTCGAGGGTGTTGAAGCCGATAGTGCTGTCGAAATGTATTTAAACTACTTTAAAAAATTCCGTATAATCATGTTATACGTAATTTTTTTAAGACGACACCGCGAAAAAATGCACCTCCTTTCATCGCATAGTATAGGAGTATGGCACGACTAACGAAACTGGAATTTTGATATAGGTAAATTCATGTCTTTATCCTTAATTTGCTTGCTCAAAAACATGATTGTAAAATTTTGACTCGATCATAATTATTTGCGAAAACACCTCTAAAAAATCACTATAGTTTAAATTACAACGAAATTACTTAATCTATATGCTTGGGAACCACTCAAATTCATTCATAACATCCATATTCGTAATTTACTTACTCATTATTTTGATTACTGAAATCAATAATTTTTTTAAATATTTTATGATTCTAAGCGATTTCTAAGCGCTCTTAGTCGTCGTGGGTGCTACGCAATTTTAGACCTTATGACGGCGTTTTTGAAGTTTTTATAGAAATTATGTTTCACTCTGGTTAGTCCGGCGATAGCCCGCTTCAACGGTTTTCGATGTGTCGCCTTAATGTGCTTAAGGCATGCCCAATTGGATTTACCATTTTTTTTAATAAATTATATATTAATATATATTAATTTTTAATAATAGCGTGTTGCCAGACTTCACGTTAAAGTTACTGTTAGTGCCTATCAAAGTCCACTGCTGAACATAAGCCCCCCACTATAGATTATGTACATACTATAGATAGACAATCTTCATATGGCGGATTTTGCCATAGTTGCCACGCTTGTCAAGCGCGTTGGAGACCGCAGTTTTCTTTTTAGGGGTTATTAGGAAAACACTGGTATCAAACAACACTGCTGTCGTAAGAGGCGACAGAGGGAACCGAATCAAGAGGTAGATTTGATTCCCTCTGTCGCCTCTTACTACACTTACGGGATGATAATTTGGGGTGGTTGATATTCTTACACTGCCACTACGCGGTAAAACCACACGTATTTTTTTTTCATAGGATAATGTGACAAACGAGCACACAGTCCACCTGATGGTAAGTGGTTTGCCTGTGGCCCATAAACATCTACATCTATCCTCGTTTGCGAATCAAAATACAGATGCGTTGTCACCTGTGAGGACTAAGATGGTATGCCTCATTTCCAGTAAAAAGGGTCTCCGGTTCTCTACAATCACCATACGAAACACAGCAGTTTTAAGCTGTACGTATCTTCGATTATTTTTCTCCGATATGTAAGTTTTCAAGAGATAAATAGATCAATATAAATTTATGAAAGATAATACTACATAATAAAGGTATATAAAACATTAGTTACATAAATATTATTATTCAGGTACATATACTTTAGATACAGATAAACCTATATTAAGCAAGTAATAAATAAATAACATAGAATAAACCAAAGTAACACATGCCTAGATTATAAAAAATGTAAATTTAAAAGATTTAAAAATTTTTTTTTAATTTATTTATGTAAGTTTCCTCACGATGCCTTCCTTTAACCCCGATCCCATGTTGAAAAGGTGTTTAAAATTGCAACATTGCAATGAACAATGTCATTGGTGTCTTTTTTCTCTTTATGTTTATATATACAATGGCTTGAGTATTTTTTTATAGAAAATGGTAATAAACGAGAATGTGGCTCATATGATGGTAAGTGTCGACCGTCGCCCATAAACAACTACATACCGGGGGAATTGCAAGTGCGTTGTCGGTCTTTTAAAAAGGAATAAGCTCGATTCTTGAAGGTATTGTGCGCGAAGCAGCAGAATAATGCTGTTTTGTTTAGTATGGTGTGTACGCATTCCATCTTAGTTCTCAGGGTGACCAATGTATCTGCATTTTTATTCTTAATCGAAAATGGCTGGTATGTTATGAGCCATAGCATCTATTTACCATCTGGTGAATTGTGTACCCACTTGTCACCCTTATTCTACAAATATAATTTAAAAAATAATTTATACAACCGACTTCAATATAAATGATTAAGAATAACTCAAAAAGTATTGGTCAGTCATTGATCAAATTTATATGAGACCATATGAGAAGCACCGGCTTTCAAATAAAAAAAGAATCATCGAAATCAGTTCACCCAGAACACATAAAAAAACATACAGTCGAATTGAGTACCTCCACATTTTTGAAGTTGGTAGAAAAAGAATTATGAATGTGTTTTTCAATATTTTATTTCTTACCGAACGATACACTTCTTTCAAATGAGTTGTAGGAATAAGATTCCATAGCTCTGCGCATCTTTCTTGTAATTCGTCTGTGTCTTCTGGGCGAGGGCTGAAGTCTATCATAACATGCTGAGCCTGTAGTGGTTCTCCACAAGCTTTACCAGGGTCTACAACTGGGGATGGAGGAAACTGCAAAGGAAATCAATGAAGAAATAATTTAAAAGAAAGAAAAAAATACTTACTCGTTATTCCAAACGCCTCAATTAAGGATCATTGAGTCTTATTGATAATAACAAGAGCTCGGCGGTAAAGGAAAACATTGTAGGAAACCTAACAGTGACGTGAGGAAGTCAACATGAATTGGGGTTACGAGGCGAACGTTTTTCTTGTCCCAACATTCTCTCAGAAATGAGAAGAGGCCTGAACCCCGCAATGAGATAATTAACTAGGTCGTAATTTTACTTGATATTTTTTTTCCTTAGACTGACAAAGGAGCACGCAGTCCACCCGATGGTCAGTGTATCTTGTGACTTGATAATAATTTGAAATTATAAAAAACTGCGTTTGTCAACCCGCTTGCATTGAAAAATCACCCCTATGAGGCAACTATGGGGGAGGCCTATGTTCAGCAGCGGGCTTTTATAGGCTGTAATGGATAGATATGCAGTATGTTTATACATTCCATGCATCAGATTTATCCCCGCGACTTCGCCCGCGCGAGTGTATTACATGGGTTTTAATTTTTTGCACGGAACCATAATTCTTTATCTAAAATAAAAGTAGCCTAAGTTACTCCTTATAACATCAGCTATCTGCCAGTGAAAGTACAGTCAAAATCGGTCCAGCCATTCAAAAAGAAGAAACAGAGAGACAGACAAAAATTTTAAAAATTGTAGTTTTGTTATAAGTACCGTATATACTTTCATATGCATTTAATAAAAAGCTGTTATTTTGACATCAAAAACAAACACATCAATTTTATTATTTGAATTAATTAAGAATTAAAATGCAAAAGCGCTGTCACCTCTGAAGACTAAAATGGAATGTCGCATAGCCTGTAGCCATTAAAATGGCTCTGTGTACTCTATAGTCTGGAACACAGCAGTGCAGGCAGTGCTGTTTTGCTTATCCTATAAAAAAATTAAGTATTACTCCCATATACAAGACTCTTATTGGTGACCTGGTTCCAAAAGTTAATCTCACCAGTCTCAAGCACAGGCATAAAATAGCCAGCTTCATGTAGCTATGCAGGATACATATTGAGTGCTTAGGACTAGCATGACTTAATTCCTCCCTCTCCCTACTACCATCGGAGATTTGGACGCTCGGCCAAACACCTGCCTATTTGTTGTCGATATACCTACCACTCATTTGATTAGTAATTCCGTACAGCAATTGAGTGGAATAATTTATCAGTATCTGTCTGTATATCCGATTAGAATGTGAGTGGTTTAAGGCAAGAGTATATAGGCTTTAGTTAGGGCGTCTTACTATTTATCACTTTTTTTACGTGGTAGAGCCATGCTGCAGCTATATTAATAGTATAGTTGTAGCACGAATGGGTCGGCTCGACCGGGGAAGGACCACGCTAAATACCAGCGTAAAATAGTAGTTTAATGCTGCTGTGTTTCGTATGGTGAGTGTAGAGAACCGGAGACCTATTTTACTGGAAAAGAGGCATCCTATCTTAGTCCTCACGGCTGACAACGCATCAATAAAATCGCATCGTAAAATAGCATTAAAAAAAACTTCTTGATGTAACCGACATCACGGAAGGACAGTGTGATAATAGTCAAGTACATTATATAATAGGTTTATAATAGTCAAAAAAACATTAAGTATATTTGTTTAGTTCTTACTTCAAATATTTTATCGGCAGATTTATCAGAAAAATCGGTGCACGTGGAATCCGACGAAGACATTGTGTTACAACAGGAACAGCAATAGCTGGAAACCGTAAATGTTAACCAATCCGACACTGCTCGAGCATTCTTCCAAAGGCCTACGAGTCTACAAGTAACCGCTTGAAATGTGTACGGAGTGAGAGATATCATTAAACTTTAGTAATATGCAAAATTGACATGATTTGTAAAGGTGAAGGAAAGTGACATTTAAAAATGACACGAAATGATATCCATAGATAATAATTATAAATGTCAGTGGTGTTAAAACATACCTACTTTGTCCAAGGTCAAATCCTAACATAGAACGTGATTATGCCACTATCTGTATGAACATGTGGTAGAGCCACGCTGCAGCTACATTATGGTTGTAGTACGAATGGGTTTGTCGCGACCAGGGAAGTACATAGCCCTCACAGAGTTCCAGCGTAAAATGGCAGCTTAACGCTGCTGTGTTTCGTATTGTGAGTGCATAATTATCTACACCCACCCGTTTTAAAGATCCTTTAAAAAGAAAACGAGGCATTCCATTTTCGTCAGAGGTGACTACGCATCTGCATTTTGATTCCTATTTGATGTAGACGAAGATGTATATAGGCCACAGCATTCAGTGGCCACCAGCACCATCAAGTGGGTTTTGTCCCGTTTTTCACCCTTATTCTTATAAATAAGACTATCGCGTGATTAAAGAGAAACAAAAAATGTGAATACGCGACGTGATACGGTTTGAGATTTTCAAGACCCCTATTGTTATAATATTGTAATAAATTTCTATAGGTGCATATGTGTTAACCAAAAATATTCAGTAATAATTTTTAGATTTATTGTGGTTTTTCCGGATCATTTAAAAAGTTGAGATGGATAGCTGAATTTCCTTTTTCAAAATGTCACCCTCTAAAATAGCAACGCGGTCATGACCTTATTGTGCCGCTGCGACATTTGATGTATAATGGTCCTCACACACGGTCAGTTAAACTGACATCAATTCAACTGATCATTTCAAACGGATTTAATCCAAAACAAATTCGACACACACGATCACTTCTACTGATCAGTTCAAACTAGGCCTGTTGATATATTTAAAATATCGGATTTTAATATATCGATAATTATAAATATATCAATATCGGAGTTTTATACATCGAAAACATAAGTGATATATCGATGCTTATTGTTTAAACTGATTTACACAGTTTATAATTTAGTATATTTATTAAACAAATTAAATTATAAATGTGTGAAAATGTTAGGTTATAACTCTTAGTAACCGTGGTAGTTCAGATGGCTCGCTGAAAATTTCACAGTACGCGAGCAACCCGGGTTCGATCCCCGGCGGCACCAATGATATTGTTAATTGCAATTTTAAGTACTGATTTACCACGTGCTCGACGATGAAGGAAAACATCGTGAGGAAACCTGCATGTCTGAGAAATAAAATAAAAATTTTAAAAAACGTGAAGTTCGCCAACACGCATTGGGGCAGCGCAGCGGACGTTGCCCTAAAACGCTCTCAGAAATTAGGAGAGGCCTGCCCAGCTGAGGAGTGCCCAGCATTGGGACGTATAAGGCTGTAACTTTAACTTTAATTATTGTATAATTTAAATAAGACAATTATGTTTACCAATATTTTTCTAGAAATTAAATCCGTTCCGTATATATGTATATATATAAATAACGTTTCCTATATATTAACACTTCAAAAGATTTTTATTCATGATAAGGTCAGTATTAAGTAAGACACTTTTAAGAAATGGGTCAGATATTATGATAATTTTATTCATTATGGTAAATTTTATTTATTTAATAAAAGTGTTATTATTTTTATCTGTTTATTAAATTACCTATCTGTAGAGCGGGCGACATCCACTGATACTAACTTGCACTCCGGTTACGGTGAGCCCAAAAAATCCGTGGGCATGGGCACATTCTGAAGGTCTTATGATGACCAGATAATGCTTATCGGTTTTCAGTAACGGGAATAGTTAGGATGGCCTAGCTTTCTATGTTTATCTAATTGAGCTCTCGACGTGTTACATACTAAAATAAAGTTGAAGCACCCAAACGTCACGAATTAAAATAAGTTAAACAAAATAAAATCCGTAGAGATTGTTTTATTAAATGTGTAGTATTCGTATAATAAATCAGCCAAAAATCATTGAATTCTAAATACTGAGTACAGGTAACTTGGTCATTTATAGGAATTGGTGTTAATGGTGCTTGTAGGTTTCCTTGAAGTACGCAGATATTTTCGTCTTCTGGTTGTAATTGGTTATGCTTTTTTCGTTCTGCCTTGTTTTTTATTGCCTGTAAAATATATGGTCGATTTCTAATTTTGTATCTACTTGGGAGTTTTGCTGCTTTTTTAATTGACTGAAAACATTATAAAGTGAGTAATAATATATACTGTTTGTACTATTTATTATATTTATATTTTTTGTGTAGTTACTTCTTGAGCCCTTCCAAATGAGCCTAAACACGATGGTGTTTCGTAATGGCATAACTGAGATCTTTTACCCCACCTTCTTTGTCCACCATCATGAAGGTAATATATTCACATTGAACTAGGTCTTTATAAACCCTTTCAAATGAGTTCAAACACGACCGTTCTATCTAGTGCCGCCACTGAGATCCTATATCCACCTTCGGATTGCACCATCAGAAAGGTGAGGTCATAACAGTCACCTAGGTCTTTATGAGCCCTTTCAAATGAGCTCAAACACGATCGCTGTATCTAGTGCCGTCACTGAGAACCTATATCCACCTTCGGATTTCACCATCAAAAAGGTGAGGTCATAACAGTCACCTAGGTCTTTATGAGACCTTTCAAATGAGTTCTAACATGATCCTTCTATCTAGTGCCGCCCCTGAGATCCTATACCCACCTTCGGATTGCACCATCAAAAAGGTGGGGTCATAACAGTCACCTTGGTCTTTATGAACCCATTCAAATGAGTTCAAACGCGGTTATTCTATCTAGTCTCGTCACTGAGATCCTATACCCACCTTCGGATTGCACCAACATAAAGGTGATATCATCACAGTCATCTAGGTTTCCATTCCATTCCACCTATTTGAAAATGGTCCAAACACGATGTTTCTGCGTAGTAGCATCACTGAGATCCTTTACCCACCTTCTGAGTCCACCATAAAGAAGGTGACATCATTACAATCACCTTGGTCTCCACCCATTATACGAGTATATACGTCACGGAGCCGTCATATCATGACGGCTTCGTGACGCAGTGTCTTAGCAATGAGTTGCTGCGCTGGGGGCCACGGGTTCGAATCCCGCACGGAACAAGTATTTGTATGGCCTACAAATAATTGTTCCGGGTCTGAATGTTTGTCCTTGTGCAATTTGTGTTTGTAAACTGCCTCCACGATACAGGAGAAAATCCTAGTGTTGGGGTAACTTTTTTTAATAACAAAAATGTATAAAAAAATATAAAATCTAAGCAACATACAAATAATGTTATAAAAAATTTTAAAATATATATAAAAGCTACTAAGAAAGAATGTACTTACCAATAATGGAAACGAACTGAAGCCAGCGGGTTACGGTGCGCCCAGAAAAATACGTGGGTTGCCGTCAGTTAAAAATTTTAACGTAAGATTTCACATTCACGATCAGTTTTTGGATGTACGTCAGTTCAACGGAGCGTTTACCTGACAGCACGCCCGAATAAAATCCGTGTGTTGCCGTCAGTTAAAATTTTCAAATTAAGATTTCACATTCACGGTCAGTTTTTGGATGTACGTCAGTTAAAATGATCAGTTTAACTGACCGTGTGTGGCCACCATAATCATTCAAAATAGCTTCGTAACGTTGTCAATAGCGCCTGTGTAGTTTAGTTCCATTCATACGTTTTCAATTGTAGAAGATTGTCCTACTGAATGAAGTCTTTCCCTTCGCATTTCTCTCAAAAAGTTTTTGTTATTGTCTAAAATTGTTGAATTTAATATTGTATAAAATTAATGCACTTTTTTATAAAATAAATATCTCTTCCGTATGGAATTTTTAAACAAAATTAAAAACAACATGTGGAATACAATAAAACAAATGCTAAATATGCAGGTTCATGAATATTCACGAAGGAACCCTATGTCCATATTTCTGATTATATTTTTTATAGAAGTAAAGGTGGTGTTGTCCCTAGATACTATTATCATACGCATACTATATCGATTTAGAAGAAAAATAAAAATACGTTGTCACTCCTGAGAAATAAGACTTTTTTATGAACCATGATGCAGCTATATTATGGTTACAGCACGAACGTGTCGGCTCGACCGGGGAAGAACCACGTTCTCTTAGAATACCAGCGTTTACCGATGACCGGGGGCGTAGCTACCGCCGTATCAGCCGTATCAATGATACGGGGCCCCCGGGCTACAGGGGCCCCGAATGTATCTAAGCAAAAATTCTAAGGATTTCTATGGGACAGGATGTTGGTTTGAATTGTTTGGCTAGCTTAGTTTCTAGGAGTATTAATTGTAAGTAATAACTTATAATCAATATATAATTATTTTAATTGCGAGAGTTTTTGTTCCTTTTGCCAAAAATCTTTACCCTTCATTTGGGCCCCCCGACAAATTTTGATACAGGGCTCCTCTAAGGCACGCTTCTCCACTGCCGATGACCCTTTGACTGAAAGCGCATTCCATCATAGTCCAGTTACCTGAGAACTACGATGGCATGGAGTGCATCTGCATTTTGATTCTTAATCGAGGATAGATACCTATCTATTGGCCACTCTACCACATGAAGACAATGCACCGGTTTACAAAAACAAGAACTTTCAAGAAGAAAACAAGAAGAATCTGCATAAAACTCTGGAGTCTTGTTTTTAAGTTATGTTACAAATTACATAATATGCTATGTTAAAGGTCTATAAATATTATCAACACTAGCCAACTGACGTGTTAGGTACTCAAACATGCACTGGATCAGTACGACGGAATAATTACCCTATAACCTGTTCGCGCCAACCGCTAATTTCAAGAATCGACGCCAGGGGGCGCACAGAGCGGTGATTTCCTACCGTTTGACGTTCGCACGAAATCGGATTGGTTGATTGTGGGTCGGGCCGGAAGTGATTGAATGCAGTGCAGTCACTAGCACGGCGTGTTCTCCCCCGGTATAACCTCTATAT